GAGATCTGATCTCATCATCATCCAGTCGGTCTGGAATGACATGAAGAAACAGAATAAACTGAGAAGAACTGTGGCAACGTCTCCAAGATGCTTCAAGAAACCTGGATTTAGTCTCTCTCAGTTTGATCTGTTTCTTGAGTCCTCGATCCTTATATTGCTTTCTCCAGTGAAAAAGTCATCTCATCTGAATCAGGAGATAAATCTGCACAGATCAAGCACCATTTAAAACAGTTCTAAACAAATATGTCTGTAGGGTTGGGTACCGTTTAGGGCTATGCGATTAATCGAAATCGTCATAAAATCGCGATTTGAACGTGCGCGATTTCTAAATCTCTTTATAGCACGATTTTCCGCGCCCCCGACCTCCTTGTATGCTATCCGAACCAATCAGAATGCAGCACGCCTAAATGGAGCACGAGAACATGACCAATGCATGGCTAAAAAAAATCCCTGGACAAGGATTTTTTATTTATTTTTTTTGCCATATGTCTATCCTAGAGACATTTTGTTACACCTTTACTTAGTGATTATTTTGCCTTATGTGTGTTCTAGAGACGTGTTACAGCTTTTTGATAAAGCTCTAATTGGTTTTCTTTTGGAAATATGTTTCAAATTCACACTGAATGCATTTTCTTTTAGAAATATGTTTAAAATTCACACTGAATGCATTAATGACTGTAAAGCATGTCTGTGTGTGTCAAAATTGTTATTAAAATCGAAATCGCAAAATTGATCAAAGAAATCGCGATTTTTTTTTGTCCATATCGCACAGCCCTAGCACCGTTCACATTTTAACCTTTTTTCGGTACTTTACTCTCTGTGTAATTACAAAAACATTTCAATTTTTAATAGGCTAATAATTGTATTATTTTTTTCTACAAATAAGTGATTAATCTGGTTGTAATATTTAATTTTATCATTTAATTGTTTTATTTAAATTTGATAGAAAATGTAATACTTAAAGATGTACATTATACTGTACAAAAGTAATACAAGAGTAATATATTTCTGTTACATGTTAAACCGTACTTTTATTTTGACAGGTTGGCATGAAGTTTCTGTGTGTATACAGCATGATGATGCTAGTTTTATCAAATTAAACGGTAAAATTCTCGCGAAGCAGCTCTGAAGATTAAGTTTTTGTGTTCATGCCGTCATATAGTGAGACGCAGAGGCCGAAAATCCCCACGAGCGTCACGCGTGCTTCAGTATTTGTGTAGTAAACAAAACCGTGTCTCCGCCATGCATTCATACAGAGGCAAGCGGAACATGCAGGATTCATATTTAAACCGTCTTTTTGCATTTTAATATTCACAGACACTAGTTCATATCGCGATTCGAATTAAGTGGCAGTGGCTACTTTTGATTTATTCGTCCTAAAATGACTAATTCCATGGCATTCCGCTCTATAGAGTAAATTATGTTTTTATGAATGGACTCTGCAATCCTGTCCGCGTTTTCGCAGAAACCATATGGCCCTAGAAGTGTAACCACACTTCAGAACTTTTCGGCTTGCCCTGTGTGTTGTTTGAACGAGTTGCAGGGGTGACATCACGCCACAGGGTCTCTCTTTCTCTCTCTGTAGTAGTGTATGCGCCCAGATGCGTTCTCAGGTACCGAAATTTGGCACCGATTGATTTAATGTGAATCGGTACTCGGTAGTACCGACGCAACACCGATTGATGTAACGTGAATCAGTACTCGGTAGCACTGACGCAATTCGATCGGTACCCTTAAAAGTACCGAGTTCGGTACCCAACCCTATATGTCTGTGAATGATGTGAGAGGACAACAGAGGATCGACTTTTTCACTGGAGGAAGTGTTATTATAGATTATGGAGTATTTTTGGGCTATGTGATGGATTATTTTTGCCAGAAGCAACGGTTTAAAGTTGAAATAAGTGTTAAGTGCATCATCCGGATATTTCAAGTGCACTTTTTCTTTCTGGAATTTTCAGTGTGAACACACTAGCACTATTTATACTACAAAACATCATAGAATAGTGCATAAGCACGCGATTTGGGACGCGCCTACAGTCTTGTACACTCCTTGTCAGGCCGTACTTGTGCGTCTTAAGTGTAAGTGGTGGCCCTCTTGTAAGCTATTAGACCTAATGCGCTGGAAAATGGGTTTTAATTTTGTGCTGAAATGCAATTAAGCCTGAAGTAGCCCTCTTTCAGCGCTAAACGCAACCCGGTTAGTATCGACTAGCTCTGCTGCTACAAGAGTGTTAGCATCGATCACGGAAAACGTGCCTGGAAGAATTCCCGTCTCTTCCTCCTTCCTCGTCATTTACTTTGCATGTGTTAACCTAACACTCCCACCTCTCCAATCTAACAATGCAATCTACCGCAGAAAAATATTCTCTCTTCAGCTCCGGGTCTTTTTGAGATGCTGATTTAAGATGTGCCTTTGTAGATATCACTTACCTCTTTGATTTATTCTCTGCTCGGTCTCTGAATACATAGTGTAACTCCTCTTTTTTGAGGCAAGCGTCACTGTTGCTATTTCTCAAATTGTGATGCTTGTTGGAGAGAGGTGATGTATTATTTTATATTTTATATTTCATTTAGTGTAATTTTTATGTATTTTTAATGATTATGTTTATTTAATCATTTTGTTATTTTTTGTATATTTTATTTTTATTTTTTAGTAATTTTTTTCCCCCTGGGTTCTAGAGTTTTAAGTTGACAGCAAATTGGCTTGAAGTTTTGTTTTGATTCAAAAGTGATTTTTGTGAACTCCAAACAATTTTACAAACAAAGATTAACAGTGATTAAGTGTATCTTAGGCAAGAAAAAAAAATTGTTTTTTAGTATTGAGTTTTCCCCGTGCAGTGTTGGAGAAGCTTCTGCTTCATCATTGTTATTTCAATATTGCCTCAGGAAAGCACTGAGCATTTCTCTATTGATACTCCTCATAACCTCTGGTTTAAAAACACACAAAACAAACCCGTTCTTATGAACACAGCAGCACAAACTCAAGGAGATCAAAGCACATGTAAGTCTTAGAATTATTAGCTGTTTTTGTGTAATGTGCTTTAGAGCTGCACTCTTGACCCTGTGCTGTAGTCCAGTAGTCTTGCGCTCCCAATAGAAATGCTTTAAAAGCTTGTGGAAAGAAAAGGGTCAGTAGTCTATTGTTCTTTTTACTTCCTGCTCAAGTTTCTTCCCTTCTGTTTCCAAAAAATAAATACGATTAACTTGTCATCTCAATAACCCTAACAGATAATAAAACACAAGTTATAATGCTTATTTCCCTTGCTGTTTCTCTTCTTTCCAGGAGCAGTTGCCGGACCTGTGGTCTCACTTCCAGGACCTGAACCTGGAGGCCCATATGTACGCGTCCCAGTGGTTCTTAACACTGTTTACCGCCAAGTTCCCTCTCTGCATGGTCTTCCATATCACCGACCTGCTCCTGTGCGAGGTGATACATCTTCCTCCAATCACAAAATTGCAGTAACCAAAAGTCATTTAACCAATGAGTAGTCACTGTGGGTGAGACTAACTAACACAACATAAATAGAAACCTAGCGACCGACATTGGGTCTGTTTTTTCTTCTATAGTATGAATAGTACACATTCAGACATTCTGCTTTTTTGACACACTGCTTTTCATATACTATACTTAGGCAAGTAGGCATATTTAGACGCGCGGCCGAATTTATTAAAACAAGGTTAAGATCAAATTTAAATCAAATTAAACCTCACAGATTTTGTGAATCTGTTGGAGTTTCTGTGCTAGTACGCAACTTGTATGTTTATTAGTAAATGAGACTAAATGTTTTGTGATTTACTTGTCATTTTCACATCTGGTTAGGACAAAATGTTTTGCATTTTGTTTAGAGACATACATGCAACTTATTGTAAAGTAAAGGTCTTTGTCCGAAAATTTCGCACGTTAAAAAAATAAATACGACCTCACGTTGTGTCAATCCCATTTACACACTGCCTCCGAAACTTTCGTTCTGTCATAAAAAAATTCGGATCAGGTTCGATTTTCTGCGTTTTCGCATCCATAGAAAGCATTTTGATAGGATGACGAATACGGAAAAAAAAAAAAACGAAAAAACCTACGAAAATTTCGGACTCTGTGTGCAAGGACCTTAATACTTTACAATAAGTTGTAATTCATTAACACAAGTTAGCATTTAGTAATTGTTCATGTTAATTATATAAATATACTTTGTATTGTTCATTTGTTCATAATACATGAATTAATATTAGTGTATTTTTAAAAACTTGAAATGTTAATAATGTAATAGTATATGAATGCTGTTTGTTAGTTAATGATACTTAATGCTAAACTTTTAAATGAATACAATCAGGTAAATGAATAAAAAGTAATGGAAAATTATCTAGTTAAATTATTTAATTGGCTAGAAATTATTCTTTAAATCTCTTTAAAATTATTATTTATTTTTTTTATCCTTATCCTAGTTATGAATGACTGGAAAAGTTAGAAAATGAATAAAATCTGTAAAATGTCATGGAAATACTTAGATTTAAAATACTGGCTTCTTTGTGAGTGATTATTATTATAATTACTCACAATTATTATATTATCTATACAGCTTGAAATGTTAAAAATGTAATCACATATAGAAATTTAGATTAACTCAGAATGATAATTGCTGTAAAAGTATTTCATATTGTTAGTTTGTGATACCTAATGCTAAACCTTGAAGTTAATAAAAACAGATAACTTAATAAAATCTGTAAAAAAGTAATTGAAATTTACGCTCAAGTTTTTCATTGGCTAGAAATTGGTCTTTTTGAGTGCAATCTCTTCAGTGAAAAATCTATTATTGTATTGCACTTTGTAAGCTCTTGGTAACCCTAAAGATAAACTTAGCGGATTGCATCATTTTTTTATTTTTATGTTTCTTTTCTGGCTAAATAAATATTGTATTTGTGGGGTTTCCAGTAGCACATGAAACTGACGGAAAGTTCAGTTGTTTCTAAACTTCTTGAACTCTGTTAGATTTCCCAAAGCAAGCATCTTTGACTTCTTAGAAATAGGCTTTGTGTCTTTCCAAAAGAAATGCTTCGACCTTTCTGCTCCTCAGAGAGCTTTTCCTTTTATTTTTTTCCCATCGCTTTTCTCCCCTTTTCCTTTCATTCAGCGTCTGTGGTAGCCCGAGGCAAGACAATTAAAAGTTTCCTCAGCCTGTCTCAGTTAATGAATCGCATGATGAGAATCTGTTAGATGCTCTCTCTCTCCTTATCCATCTATCAGTTCATCTCTAATTCATTTAGTGTTCTGCCTTCTTTTGAGGCTCTGGCTCTACTGTTAAGCAACTTGTAGTGATCGTAGTCCTTCTTGTTCACGCATCTCTCCCTAAATCATATTTACATTTCAGATTATTTGTATTCCGTTTTTTTCACAATATATACTTGTTCTAAAGAAGCTTTAAAATTGTGCCATTGTGTGCTTTTGCGCACAAAACCGGAAAGCACTTTCTTGCTTTGGCAAGCTCTAATCTGATTGGCTACCTTCAAACCACTTCCAGGACTAAGGGCACACAGGATTTGTTATCAGTCCGTCGGGAAACAAAGTCTGGTTCACAAGGGACGGTGTTGATATAGTGAGCACTTTTGAAGATTAAATAATTACTGGGCTTGCAAATTTTTTAAAGGTTACTAGCACAAAATCTTTGAAAGTATTTTTAAACTAATAAATTAGATATCTGTAAGTAGTTTTAAGTTAATTGCCATGCCATTTTTTTTTAATTAATTTGTTTATTCACATTGAGTGTATAAAGAAAATATATATAAAAGCTATAAAGAAAAACTATATATATTAAACTATATATACATTATAGTATTATCTATATAATATGTATCTCATATATATAAACTTATATATCAAACTTAGATTTACTCTACTTCTAGAAAAAAATTATAATAAAAAATGCAAATATATATATATATATATATATATATAATATTTATAATATTAATACATTTTTATTTATTTTTAAGTAATACTTATGTTCAGCAAAGAACATATAAATCACAAGTGACAGTAAAGACACCGTTTTAAAAGATTAATTTATATATATTTTTTAATTCAGTTCTTTTGAACTTTCTACTCAAAGAATGAGTAAAACCATTTACACAAAAATATTCCAGGAAAAATTGTTTTCAACACTGATGATAATAATAATAATAATAAATGATAATTGCCATGCCATTTTTTTTTAATTAATTTGTTTATTCACATTGAGTGTATAAAGAAAATATATATAAAAGCTATAAAGAAAAACTATATATATTAAACTATATATACATTATAGTATTATCTATATAATATGTATCTCATATATATAAACTTATATATCAAACTTAGATTTACTCTACTTCTAGAAAAAAATTATAATAAAAAATGCAAATATATATATATATATATATATATATAATATTTATAATATTAATACATTTTTATTTATTTTTAAGTAATACTTATAAAGATGCTGAAAATTCAGCTTTGTATCCGAAGAATTAATTACATTTTAAAATATACTAAAATAAAAACCAATTATTTTAAATTGTAATAATATTTCACAAATATTACAGATTTACTGTATTTTTTGATCAAATGAAAGAGACTTCTTTCAAAAATATAAAAGATCTCGCCGACCCCGAATTATTCTCAATAGTTCCTGCAACTGCAATTATGGCAATTCTTCAAGCTAACGAATTGCTCAGGTTGTTGTAAATTGCTTTGCCTGATATACATACTGATAGTTTTTCTAGTATAAATTCTAACACGAATCATAGTATACGTATTTCTTGCATAACCTTCAGCTCCCAAGCCAAAGAGTAAAGTCTCATCCCTCCCTCAACAAACACAAACACACACGCAGACACACAATTATCCCCCCTGCAATTTCCATTTAGCCCCCTAGCGCCATCTAGAGCCTGTCGGGGAGAGATAGCCTCTGCCGTCTGTTATTAATAGAGAACGCAGGATATTTTTAGCTCGGTGTTGCCATGTGAACGAGTTGTCTAAGCGATGCTGGAGACGGGTGTTTCCATGCGGAGCTGACTTCAGCATTGCTTCTCTGCGATGCCACCTGCTCCCTTCTGACACACACACACACACACACACACACACACACACACACACCGTCCTTCACATCCACCTGCCTGTCAGTCCACCTGAGCGTGTGCGAGCGAGATTGTTTGCCTCTTCCTTCAGCTCCTGTCACTCCCACACATTTGAGCTCTTTGTATGACTCGAGCTATTTTAGGAAATGCAAATGCGCTCGACATCGCACTTCCCTTTCCTAGTACAGCATTGCGGCTCCTCCGAACCATTTAAATGAAATCGTATCGTCTTTTTTACAATAAAGCACCTTTGTATGTGGCCCGTTTTGTCGTTCCAGGCAGTTTGATGTTCAAAGAAATGATTCTGTGTGTGTCATTTAATTTTTCGCTGTCTTCACAGGGGTTGAGCATCATTTTCAATGTGGCGCTGGCTCTTCTGAAGGTACTGCATTTCACCGTGCTTACATTTCCTTGTTTTAAATAGTTCAGAAAAGTCAGGGAAATTCACATGATGGAGGTGGTTTATATGACGGAAAATTAATGGGGAAATTAATAAAATCGGTGAAAAGTCATGGAAATGTATGTAGTTATGCTCAGAAATGTAAAATTATTCTTGGTTAGTGAAATCTCTTTTCAAATTATTATTATTTTTTTAAATCTCTGTCCTATTTATGAATTATTGGAAAACTTAATTCATTGTAAATTAATTAAAACAATAAAAAGTTGTGGAGTTATTCCTAGTCGTGCTCAGATTTAAACTATTAGCTAGAATCTGTTATTTTAGTATAATTTATATATTATAGTATTAATTTTGAATTGGCTTTCATTTTTATATTTTTAGTTTATATTTTGTTTAAATTTAATCATTTTGTTTTGCTTTTATCACAATAACATCGTTTTATCATATCACATAGTTTTTAGTCATTTTAGTTCTTCAGATTAAACTTATTTCAGTTAGTTGCCAAAACAACGTTTAATTTTCATTCAAGTTTTTCAACTAAAATAATATTTTATTTAATTTCAGCTTTATTTCATTTATAGAAAACAATTCTCATAATAACTTATATTTACCAATAACAACACCATTTCTTTGAGTGCAACATTTTATTTTATTTATTCTTTTATTTTACTTTTTAATTATTTTATTTTATTCATTTCGTTTTTTTCTTTATTGCTTTTAGTCATTTTAGTACTTCATCTTAAACTTATTTTTGTTAGTTGCCAAAGCGATATTTCTCATTTTCATTTAAGTTTTTGATCTAAAATAACATTTTATTTTATTTCAGCATTATTTCAATTACAGAAAACAGTTCTCATAATAATTTGTTATATTTACCAATAACAACACCATTTATTTGAGTGCAGTATTTTTTTATTAATTGTTCATTTTATTTTATTATTAGTTTTGTTCTTTTATAGCTTTTAATAATTTTAGTACTTCAGCTTTAATTTATTTCAGTTAGTTGCCAAAGCAATATTTCTAATTTTCATTTAAGTTTTTCACCTAAAATAATATTTTATTTAAATTCAGCTTAATTCCAATTACAGTACAAAAACAGTTCTCATAATAATTTGTTATATTTACCAATAACAACGGCATTTCTTTGAGTACAGTATTTAATTTTTTAATTTTGTTTTATTTTATTCATTGATTTATTTTTATTTTAAGTCCTTATCCTAATCATAAAAAGTCAGGGAAATTCATTAGCTAAAATGTGAGAATCCTGGCACATGATTTATTGCTTTTAGATTAAAATTCATCAACTCTGCAAGTAAAAAAGGAAAATATTGAGTGTGTCTCCCTCTGCTGGTCAGAAGACATATGGCCTTGATTTTTTTTTTTTTTTCTTTCTTCAAAATATTTGTGTGCAGCTGTTCAGAGCTTTCTGGTTTTGTAGTTTTTGCTATGATCAATATTAAACAAGAAACTGAAACACTTAATATATTGTAATATAGTATTACAATCTCATATATAACACTGCTACAAAAACGTAAAAATTTAAAAAATACTGGATGCTTAATTTTAAATGAAGCTTTTCAAATATGAAACGCATATATTTCATTTAAAAATGAGCCCAAAAACAGGATACCATTTCATAATAATACAAATAACCACACATGAAAACAGGTTAGGAAATGCAGCGTAAACAGGAAATAACCTCAGTTTATCACTTTTCCTGCACGCAAGTGGCATTTTTCTTTTCATGAGATGCATTGGCTCGTTAACACCACATAATAAGGAAGTTGATCCGAGCCATGTGGCTGCTGTCGGAGTGATGTATGCGTGCATTTGGGTTTGTTGTTGTGATGTTATTGATCATCAGCGACACGATAGATGACACAGTATACAGCTGTGGGTCATTAGCCCAGTAATGCCACTAGATGCAATTTAAAGGGCAGTTTGTCATTACCAGTTGGCCAATTCTGTCTGCTGCGAAGCTTTCCAACAGCGTTCTCAGCACTAATACATTAGCTTCATCCACAAAGCCACACCTTTGTGTAAGCTGCAATGGCAGAATGACAAATGGAGCTATTGCTCGAGCGGACTGCGCTGGCCTGAATGTGTCTGAGCTAACCTATGGAGGAGACGCGGATATATCCGCTGGTTTAATGTGGAGAAATAGACTCCACTTCCCTGTTCTGTAATTACAGCAGATGTGAGAGCCAGAATAATGTTCTCTGGTTTTTCTCACATTATCAGTTTATTCACTATAGTTTAGAAAATGGTAATTATTAAAAAAACATGATTAAAAAATATTCAGTGTCATAAGGCATACTATTTTGTAATTTGCACTGTTCTGTGTTAATTCTGAAAAAGATTATTATATAAAAGAAATTTAATATAAAGTATAACAAAAAATAATATATGAACGCATTTATTTAGTTTTTAAAAAATTTCATATTGCATCTGAATGTTATTTTGTAGTTCACATTTTTCTCAATTGGGATTCTGATTATATTTACATTACTATAATCCAGAATTTTTTGTCTTCGAGCTACTTTTTTAAATAAATAATATTCTATTACTATTTTCTAGCTATTTTAAATAAAAAACTAAAAATCTTATTTTGGGGTGAAATATAAACCAAACATATTCTTGACAGGTTGCCAATGTGTGTTTTTTTATATTTTCCTCACTGATTAAACGTGTATAAAAGAAAGAAATAATATTGTTAGTGTGTTCTGCAGTTTTCCCGCCATGTTTAAATGGAAACAGAAGAAACCAGTGAAATCAGGTGGACAGAAGCTGATGTGACTGTGCGTGTGAGGAAGCAATGAGATGTGCCTTAATAGAGAGAGAAAGAGAGAGAGTGAGAGGAGCTAGAGGGGGTTGCACTGCCTCGCTCCTATTGGCTAACCATTACGACATTATCCCTGAAGGCTCCCAAACCCCCTCCTCCTCCTCTCTCTCTCTCTCTCTCTCTCTCTGCCGCTCCACACCCCTCCATCTCGCGCTCTGTTTCTCCACATGTCCCTCTGTCTGTTCCCTCAGCGAGCTTCCAGCAGCAATTAGCATTTAGCATGAGTTGCATTGGAGCCTCGGCCATGTCCACTGTCCATTCGTCCATGGTCTCCCGTTCCCTCGCGATGCCCCTCCTATCTTCCTCTCCTCCTCCCTTTCCGCCACTCCGCCGCCTTTTCTAGCATCGACAGCATCTCTGTGAGCATCTCTCCCTCCCCGTCTTCCTCTCACGCGCTCGTCGACTTAGGAAAAGCAAAGCAGTGAAGCCACTGGAGCTGGAGTAACGAAGGCCGGAGGACGAGGAGACGATAACGTCCACCCAGTCTCGCATCTCGCCTCCTTCATCCCACACTTGGCACCTTTGGGATACTTCTGGACCTCGACAGGATGGCGGAGCTGGCAGACTCTGGACCGAGCGAGAACGAGGACTTGGCTTGACTTCATAGACTTAGATCCACCTGACGATGACTCAACTTTCAGTCTGAGACGCTTTGAAGACGTTCAAAAGACTGAAGACGAGTTGTCCGTGTCGACAGCACCACGCGACTCCCCTCCTGCCTGTTGCCAGGCAACAGATTGCAAATTTGGGATTTCGGGAGGAGCTGGCCAATGATAAACTGGGATCGAAGCGTATTTCCTTGTTGAAGTATGTCAAGCCACTTTCGGTTTGCTTTGGCATCTTTTAAACTAGGCGTGGTCTCTGATATTGTTTACATTGCGGACCCAAAATGGATCAACGTAAGTGTGAATCCGCTTTCCGTTTTTTGACGCTGCATGCTCACGCTTGTCGAATCATGATCGAATGACACCGAGACTGCTTTAGCACTACCGAATCAACCGCCTGGACGAACTTTTCCAAAATTGGACGCCGTCTCGGGACGTCAACGTGGCTGACTCCAGGTCAGCCCCAGAGCCTCCGTGGGAGGACGATGCTAGGGACTCTGAAGGAGCCCAAGAGGCTCTTTCACCTTTGACCCCAGAGAGAGACTTGCCTTCACCGCCGCTATGGGCTCAGATACCACCCGCTGTGCGGAGGCTGGAGGAAGGGGGTGCTGGAGAGGACAAGGGTGGGCTGGGCAATGACTGTACCGATAGTGTCATGGGGCTGCTGGGCATGGGTCACCGCCTGTTTGTGCCCCGGCTGCTGGCGGTGAGGGGCAGCTGCTGCAAATAGAGGCCGTCTTCATGTCTGTTTGTGTGTTGTGTGTTTATATGTGACTCTTACCAGGCTGCTTGGGTGGCCTTTGTAAAAATATCAGTAAAATATATATATATTATATTTATTAAAATAGTTATTTTATTAACAATACTTTGATGCCTTAAGTTGTAAGTAAACACTTTTTTTAAACAATTTTAATTTAATTTAATTACATTTTTTAAAATTGTATTTATTTTGTTAGTTCTTTAATGCATTAAGTTCACTTGCATTATAAAAATATTTTTATTTTTAATTATCTATTTATTTGTTTGTTTGTATATTTATTTTATTTATTTATTTATTTATTTTCAATTGCAGCAAACAAACTTTTTTTTTTTTTTTTTTTTTTTTGTGTATTTATTTTTTTTCTGTTAGCAAAGTGCAGATTAACTTTTGGCCATACTGTATATCGGTTATATTGGCCATAAAATAAAAAATTAATTATTAACTTTTCGCTATCTGCCAGAATTTCAGTATTGGTACTTCCTTAGAAATTATATTGTACTGTGCAAATCTTACTCTTACTGTTGTTGTCATTGGACATATGGATTTTAATATCTGATTTATGCTCAACCAATATAGCATCTGTAAAAGGGTTATGTGGCTTTGTCAGGTTCGCAAAAGGCCAATGCAAACATAAATGAGGAAAACAATCACCTAGCAAAGTTCCTCTTCAGGCAGTTTATCAGGTTGATTTTACTGAAATGACCCTAAACCAGTTCTGTTTTTCTATCTGCATGCAGACCTCCAAGGAAGACCTGCTTCAAGCTGACTTTGAGGGTGCGCTGAAATTTTTCCGGGTCCAGCTCCCAAAACGCTACAGGGCGGCAGAGAACGCTCGGCGCTTGATGGAGCAAGCCTGCAATATCAAGGTAAGAAACAACTCCAAACATCTGTCAAACTACAAACCATAAAACACTCTGCATTTATTAATATATTTTTTATTTTATTTCATTTTATTTTAGCTCTTATTTGATTACTTGAGTTCTTTCGATTTGAACAGACCCCCATAAATATTATATTTAATTGTAATATTTTAATAATTTATCTACTTTTTTTGTATGTGCTTTGAACAATGATTTTTCAAACTGTGTGGCTTATAGTGATGAGGTGTGCTTTTAGTTGTCTGATCAGTTGGATTTATGCCTGGCGGATGATGAAATGGGTGGAAATTTATGGACTTATGTTGAAGGAGTTAATTATGTAATCCCAGGTCACTTTGCATTGTCTGAGAAATGTGAAGCGCTACACCACAAAGCTAGCATTGCAGGTATTCAGAGAATGCAGAGACCTTGTCTGCGTTTCAAGGCTCCATTGAAACAAGGTTGAGTTAAGACTCAAGGATAAATACCCACAATTCTCTGCCTGAAACCCATTCCTCAGGACTTCTATAGGCTCTGACCTATTTTCTGCTGCGGTTATTGCTTCTTCCATGCATTCATGCTTTCAAGAGTTTATTTTTGTGGGGGGCAGGGGTTAGTTTTATTTATTTGTGTGATGTTGAGTGTGCATGTTCAGGAAGGAAGGAGGAGGAGATCGAGATGATACTGTCTTCATCTCCTCCTTCCTACTTCTCTTTCTCCTTCTTGTTGTAAATGCAGTCTCGCTGTCACTAACAGCAGGATTTCCTGTGCCCCATTCACTCACTGCTGTGCTTCAGTAATGCAGTAATTGTATAACGCACTGTTTAACTAGGGATGACTGTTTGTATGCTACAATTAATTGCGACATTTAGAATGTTGTGTCCAAACAGTGTTGCTAAAGGGATATTTTCTTGGATATGGCTAGTATGTACTTCTATTGTCAGTGTGTATGTATACTGGATACTGTGTGAATTTTTATATATACTTTTAGATTTTATATGTATATGTGTGTGTGTGTGTTAGTGTGTGAACATAAAAACAGGCAATTTTGACAATTAACCACATTTTCCACCCAAATTCTAATGACTATATTGTGAAAATGACATTTTTGTCATTAATAATTTCAATTAATAATTAAATAATTCATTACATTTAAATAAAACATAATAAAATGGTTAGAATGTTACAGTATAGTATTAGTAATTATTTTAATTTGGCTGATTTTTAACTTTTAACAATTATTTTAAATTTATTGTGATACTGTAAATCAGTTTTTATTATGAGAATTTTGAAAATGAAAAAATAATTAAGGTTAATTCTTTCCCCACCAGCGTTTTTTTTTTTTATGTTTGTTTGTTTTTGCCAGCCACCGCCAGCATTTTTTATCATTTTCGCAAAAGTTTAATGGCCCCCAGAATACTTTGTATGAATATCTGAATATGCAATATGCCAAAACAAATAACAGAGCTCCTGCTTTTAAACAAAAAAAAAATCCATTTTATTCTAGCTTCAAACAATCTTTTTTTTTTTAATCAACACTTGAATGTGGGTAAGTTTAATTAAAAAAGCAACATTTTGAACAAAAAGCTAAAAAAATCCAGTTTTTGTAAAAGACTACATCTGAATCAGATTTAGAATGATGATCAAAACAGATGTAGTAGATCACTTCCATCAACACATCAAAAGCTTGCAAGGTCCTATCAGTTTTGATTTATATGCTGTTTAATGCTTGATGATTGCGTTATTTTACATATGCCTCTGCTTACATATGCTATCGCTTGTTTCTGCTTCTTCTTCTTCGCTGCATTTTGCAACCTTTTTTTTTTTTTCCTTTAAGTAAAACAGTATCTCATGCATTCTATGCTATGTTGTCTATTCACTGAGACTGGACAGAGAACCATGCATTTGTCAGGATTTAGGACCCAGCGAAAGAGAAATTAGAAACCAATAGTAGATCACTTCCATCAACACATCAAAAGCTTGCAAGGTCCTATCAGTTTTGATTTATATGCTGTTTAATGCTCTGAGACTGGACAGAGAACCATGCATTTGTCAGGATTTAGGACCCAGCGAAAGAGAAATTAGAAACCAGAGAGGGAGAAGCTCTCTGTGGGAAACCAGCACCTGAGTGAGGTGATGTAACAGGTGCATTCATCAGCAAGTCCACAAAAAGAGAGCAGCTTCGTTTCACGCTAGAATCATGTGTCTTTAAGATCATTATCCTTTGTTTTTCCTTTGTATGGCACTTTCAACTCCCTACAGTCCACACCCACCTCCATGCACCCTTGATCCACGTCTCTTCCACACCCTAACGAGAAGGATGGGTTTATACCTGCAACATATACGCCACAGACTTCATTTGGAGGTTTTTGTTCCTTTGGAGGGAAGACCACAAGCACAAGCCATCTGATCCTTCTGATTTTGCAACTGGATTTTCTCGACATCGTACCAAGTGGCGTTTTGCCCACGTAAATGAGTTCTGCACTGTCATTGCTCCCAGCATCTGCGTTGACCACGCCTCATTGTTGCCCGTGTGCATATGTGTACTTAGTCACACTTTCCTCTTTATCTCCTGCAAACAAAAGGGAAAGACAGGCAGGAGAGCAGATCAATGAGGTATTTCATCCAAAATGAGCGCTGGAGTGGGCGAATAAAGACGTTTAGCCTGCATTCAGCCTCAAAAGTGATATTTTTATCCTCACCGTCTCCAGTCTTGCTGGTTTCTAGAAGATTCTGCCTTTGGGATGTCGAGTGGATGTGTTTTATGAGACGGCTGTGAGGGAGGAGACTATGTAGCAAGGACAGGAAGCCTTGTTGCCATATCTCCATATCAGACCTGGACACCAGACGCCACACACACACACACACACACACACACACACACAGAGACCGTGAAGCTGTGCACAGATTACTTCTGCCACCCGTGATCCCAGCCGTTTCCAATCACATGTGCAAGAAGAGGAAATGCAAAGAGGTTGTTGCTCTTTGAAATGGTGAATTTAAAGAGGATCAAGTCGCCGGGTAATAAGCTTACAGGTTGATGGAATTCACAGGCACCTGCTTGCGTCGAAAGCACAAGCCGTACGAACTTCCCCCTTGGCGGATTACGAGCCGAATTCCAAATTTCACATCCTCTTGATATTGAAAGAGGACTTAATCGAAAGGAGACGTGCTTTGAGAGTGGAAACAGCTTTGGAGAACTCCGACCATCCTGAGTCTTCGGATGTTTGCGTTCGGATGCTTATTCAACCAAGGCTTCATTTCTCTTGGGAGGCCTGATGAGAAGATAAAGATAAAACGAGAGCCACCAGGGGAGTTAGAAGACCCCGTTGTGGTTTGTCTGACAAACCCAAATTTCCCCTGCCTCTTCAACCTTTTCCGCTTGTCTCGCTCTTCATATTTCCAGCGGTAACCACCGCTACCCATGAGACCGTGGCGATAAGAGCCGTCACAACCTTGCAATTCACAGAGCTTTGTCTCTTTGGAGGACCTGAGCAGGATACACGATCCTTTGAAGACAAAACCAGAGAAAGAGAGAGAGAGAGAGTGTGTTCCTCTATGGTCCATCCCCCCTGCATTTATTTCCCGCCTCAAGGGGCCGGCTCTCATCCGTAAAGAAACTTGTCTACTGGTCCCGGTCTCGGCAGACTTGTCAGCTCTCTCCTCCTCCCTCCCTCCCTCGTTTCTCGAAGCTCACCTGTCTCGCTCGGTGCTCCTCGCTGAAACTTTGCCAAGATGATGCAGGAAGTGTCGATAACGGTGGCTTACGACGCTCATGTTATCAATCAGATCAACGAGGAGGATTTCTTCGCCAGTCTGGTGGCTGATTCCAAACCTAAACCGGTGGTAAGTCTCAGACAAACGGCTGTTTTTACCTTCAGGAATTGACAAGAACATTGTCTAGTCTTGTTGTAGAGCCGTTTTCCTCTGAGCTCATTCGTTTGATTCTATCTCGGGCTGTGAGAAATGTCCTGTAATGAAATTACAAGGCTGTACAATTTTCCCCATTATGTTCTTATTCCAAGGAATGCCAACTTGGAGCTGAAAATACTATGTGTGTGATAAACATGGTGTTCAGGAGCAAGCGATTGGCTGTCAACCTAATGCAATTTTGCATGTTATGACTCTTTTTTCCCCTCAAGTAGATGTTTTGAATACTCAGATGAGCCTAGTGACCTGAATATTCAAACGCACTGGTTTAACAAATCCGATTAATCAAAATGAAGCTTTGCTTTTGTAACAAGAAGAACTTGGTGTAAAAGAGTTTTGTGGCAATTTTTTAATCACTCATCCTTCTGATATTGTGACGTTTTAGTTTGTGTATATTCACGTTTGTAGGAAACAACGTGTGCTGTTAATGTCAACGTGAATGGAAAGATCAGCTACTCATTCATACCTGTGTAGGTGTTTTGTGTTTATACAAAAACGTAATTTACACCAACCACATTTGTTGAGGCAAAACCTACCGAATTATCTTTCCATGTTAACTGTGAGTGTTAAACCAAATGAACGTTGTGCTGAGAGCTTGACTGCCATGTCGGTTGTGCCATTTCAACATGTCATTTTGTGGTCTATGGCTACACAGCACATCCGGACTAAGCGTTCGTTTAACATCTCTTCATCTAATGATGCCTGGCCTCTTATCTGCGCCGCTGACTGTCAGATTAATAGACTGATGCTTGTTCCATTTACCCCTCCTTTTTTGTGTACAAAATCTCTAAGCCTGTCCTTAAGTATTAAACTTTGGCATATTTAAAATTTTCCGCGATGCGGAAAACGCTGACGGAATCACGGAATCAGGTCATTAAAATGGAATTTACTGTATAATGCAGACTTTTACGGAATTTGCCAAATTTTCGATGAATAAATCAAAAGTAGGTCAGTAAAGCTAAATCAAAACGCAATATGGACTAGTGTCTGTGAATATTAAACCGCAAATATACTATTGAAATATGAATGCTGCATGTTCTGAGTGAATGAATGGCGCAGAAGCGCAGTTTCATTTAATCTGAAGCGTGCGTGACACTCGCGGTGTTTTCAGCCTCTGCCGCCTCAATATATGAGTACATGAACACATGAACATAATCTCTAGAACTGCTCTGAGAGTCATTTCATGAGCATTTTACCGTTTCTTTTGAGAAAAGCTATCGTCATATCATATCCACCTTTTTCTTCAATGTGGAAGTAAGCCTATGGGCAAGACTTCCGGTTCATTAGCCGCTAGAGGGAAATAGCGAGAAGAATAACAATGTGCAGTAAACGGTAAAACTGTTTGCACTACAAACCAGTGTGTTCATAATTAAGATAATACACTAAAATAATATGGTAAGACACACCAATTTTTAATATCAAGCAGCAAAACGAGTTGTTTTGTACAACTAAAAATAGCTGGATGCGGATGAGACCGGAAGCTAGACCCATAGAATTTACAAATGGCCACGCCCGCTCTAACAGGAAGAAAAAGGTAGATACAAACAGAAACTTAAAGGTCTTCACAGCAACCCATCAAAATAAAAGTTCGGTTTAACTTGAAGAAACTGTGACAGAAATATATTACTTAATGTACTGATAGTAGTACTGATAATAATAAAATTATTAAAACATCATTTTTTTAAGGAATATTTACCAGAAAAAAATTTAAATATAAAACACAGTATTTCTGGGAAAAAAATGGTATAAAATCAATTCGTTAGAGATGCTTTTGATTTCTAAAATTTAATGAAACCATTAAAATTTAATCCAGAAAATTTATGGAAAACATCGAATTTGGTTAAAGAAAATAAAACTGCATTTGAGAAAAAAATTTAACATTTCATAGGGCCTTAACAATGTAATATTTGTTAAACTTTTAATAAAATGCTGTTAAATTGTATAAAGGTTTTTTTTTTTTAATTAATAAGATTAAATTTAACCATTAAAACAGAGTCTCGAAAAATTTAAATGGAAAAAACAGAATCCAGAATAATTAAATCGGAAAAAATGGAGTTTGGAAAAAAATTAAATGTAATTTGTGAAAAAATAAAACATTTCATCTGGCAGACGATGGTGATTGTCTGATGAGCAGCAAAATGGACCACCTAGCAACTGTATTCCGTCCTTTATCTCTTTTTTCTTTCCCTGTCCTGATATTATCAACTGTTTCCTTCTTCTCCTCGTTCACTGTGTTCTGAAGCATTTGTATCATGTTCACATTCCTCGAACGGCACAACAGACACTTTGTGCAGCAGTCGAAAGGCAAAGGTGGCTGCTTGAAGCCTTTTTTTAGAAAAGAAGTCCGCTTACCCAAGCACAAGCTTTTGCCTTGTCATCGTTACAACCGCTTTCACAAAAACAAGCCTCCAGTGCCATTGAGACCTCAGTGATAACACAAGTGGTGTGACAGTTTCTCGCTCCGATGACCCTCATCCTGAGGTCAGAGGTCGAACACACAGAATGAAACTCAACAATGAGCTGCTGTTCAGAAGATCTGATGCAGTTAAGGTCTTTTTGAGACATGAAATTATTTTCTCAAGTGAGAACACTGTTGATATGCTTCACTTTTCGCAAGCATGTTGTTGAAACCCCAAACAGCTATTTGTTTTACTTCCAAACGTTGAGTTGGTTGGGAATAAATATTGCTGCTTTGTGTGTGAGCAGTTTCAAATTGAGACGAAGAAGCAAATTCTGAAAGGCTTTATGAGGACTGATCCCAGACCTGCTGAATGAAGACTGTAATAAACAAAGTCTCTTGCAGTAAAGCCGGATGAAGAGATCCCCTCAGGACCGGCTTGACTGAGCGCACTCCACCCTCAGAGACTCCACGCTCACTCCGGCTGTGCTGCTATAGCAATGGACACGAGCGCTGCACTTTCAAAGGCTCCTTGAGACAGTTTTGGCTTTTGCTTTTTTGTTGTTGTTGAGGACGTTTAGGAAGGGCTTGTGTCAGTTTTGTTTTTGAAGTTTATAGTGCTGCACGGTGTTGTTTGTTGATTCTCTTACCAAAAATGTGGAAAAACTGTGTCTGTTTTTGTATTTATCATTACATATTTTTTTTAAACTCAATAAATTAGTTATATTGTAATGTTACAGTGTAGTATTTGCATGGATTTTAATTTGTTGATTTTAACTTTTAAAAATTACTTTGTAATTTTTTGGTATAATGCAAATCCTTTTTTTTTTTTTTGTTATGCGAATTTTAAAAATGAAAAAAAAAAGTATATTAACAAAAAATTATGTAAAAGTAATATTAAAATGATAATATATTACATAATATGATATTTTAAGAAGTGTTCTACCCTATTGATACACGTAATAATATATATGATTTGTACTTTTAACTTTAATAGTCATCTTATACATTATATTACATTATTATTTAGTATATTTTTACACTATATAATAATATAATTCTATTTTTATATAATTTTATATTCATAGTCCTATTTCAAAATTTATATTTGTAACTTCTTACATTGGAATATAATTGTAATAAAAATCATTATTTTGTGTATATGTATAAAAATGTTTGATTTTGTTTTGTTTTTTACATATTTTGAACATTATAATTGTAATATGTTGTAATGTTCTAACTGTAAATATAAATCTTAATACATTTAACATGTTTTATACTATATAATACTAATAATATAATAATTCCAGTTTTATACAATTTTATGTTCAAAAATGTATATTTGTAAATAACATTGTAATATATTTGTAATATAAATAATTATTTTGTATATAACTGTTCATTAAATATATGTTTTAATACATTTCACATTTTTTGCTAATTATACATTTTTATGCATTTTTGTCATTTGTAAAATTTATAATATATGTAATGGATAATTTTATATATAATATCAGAATGAAATGTTCAATTTACTTTGAAAAAAATAAAATAAAATAAAATATTTGCCCTTGGTGTTTTGAGGAGGGGGTGCTTTAGATGTTTGTTTGGTTTTTTTTACAGTATTTATGAAGCATAATGACTTTACATTCTTGTTATACTGGTGTACATTTTTTCAAACCTGATGAAAAATTATCTGATTTCCTGTTTTCCTCAGGTGCCAACAAAGAAGCTGAAGAAGTTTGAGAAGGAGTATCAGTCTCTGAGAGAGAGCCAGCTGCAGCAGGAAGACCCTATAGACCGATATCAGGTAAGCAAGAACCTGGTTAAGCTCCACCTCCTCTGATCCTCATCCTCACCTCCTACATTCATCTTCATCTCACGCCGTCTCAGTTCAGGACTGTGTAACGGGCCGCACTGGAAACCACAGACTCTGTACGGCACAGGGAAAGAGCCAAACGCTCGCTCGCATTGTAGATGCTTGTTTTGTGCGCCTGTTATTTTATACAAATATTTTAATTTATTTTTTCAGCTTTTTATGAAGGAAAAGTAATGTTTTTAGTTTAGTTTAAGTGCCTTGTTTATTTATTTATTTTTTTTAAATGCAAAAAGTGTTAGCATATTTGAGTCTCGTGTTTACATTAACTGAAATGTTTTTATTTAAATGGATCGCATTTATTGAATGTATTATAGTTTTTATATTTTTAGGTTTATGTTGTTCATATGAAAAAAATAATAAAATGTTTAATCCTAAACAATCTTTGACATTTGAATGGAAATACAAAGCATCGTGCAATGTTGAAAAGCTAAGCATGCTATTAAAGGAAGCTCCATTACTCGTGGTTTCCTTGCTGTCACTTCCTGTTTACCCTCTCCCTCACTCAACCAACTAACCAATGAGATTCCCTCACTCACCCGTTTAACCAATGAGCTGTGGCGGGGGGTGGAGCATGGACAGGCGGTGGGGAAGGCCTCTGCGCTTTTTGTTGTAGTGGGTGTTGTGTTGACTGTGGTGCAGGTAAGCCTTCAGCCCACCAGCGCTCATCAGCTACTAACCTCTGCCTGCATGTGTGTGTGTTCATTTGAAATGATCGAGCCTTTCCATGTTACAGCAACTGCTGTGCACAACCTAACCAGCGATGTGTGTATGTGTGTGTTTGTAAATGGAAGTCAGATGACAGCTTTCCTCTTCCTGATAAGGAAATGTGTGTCATGTGAGGCTCCCTGTGACAACGGCTACTCTCTAATCAGGCAATGCAGAGTCACTGTTGTTTCTCAAGACTGGATGTGAAATACTGGTCTTAGATCAGCATGTGATCTCCAAGTGTCTGTACATATGGCTCCTAGTCGCCTGTAGTGTCATTTTTTTGTAGTAAATGTGCAGCTTTTTTGGTGTTTCCTGCTTTTATTTACAGGCTAGAGCGGGCTGTCTGGTAAATTATGAATTGTGGGGAATATATTTTTTTATATAATTCAAATTAAAAAAAATGTTTGAATATTTAATATACAAATATGCATGATTTCATCCTTTCAAATATGCATTCACCAATCTATTTTTTAATTACAATTACTATTTTTGCTATTTTCTATTGTTATCTTTATTTTCTATTATTATCTTAATTTTAGTATCTATTTATAATTAGAAAGTATTTTACAAATTTATATATTTTTATTTACTTTTATTATCACTCTCTATTTCCTATTATTATAATCATTTATTACCTATCTATTTTTTATTATTACAATCTTATTATATTTACTATTTTCTATTATTATTATTATCTTAATTTATTATCTACTTATAATTAGAAAATATTTTAATAAATGTATTAATTTATTAATTAACTTTAAAGTAATTTATATAATTTTCTTTGTTTTTATCATTTCTTTCTTTGTACATTTTTTTTTTATGCTCTCAGTGCTGACACAAAAAAAAAAATCACACCTGGTTAGTACACAGTGTAAGTGACAGAAAATATAAAACATTTAATGAAAGAATATTTTTTGACATTTTAGTTTTTGCTTTTATTTGTGTTGCGAAATGGTGCGGTTTACACTATCATCTAGACATTTATTTTGCTTACATGTGAGTGCTTGGGAAATTTGAGTCTGTAGCTTGTGCAAAGCTAGTCTTGCAGTCTTTTCAGTCTCCGTCTGTAAATCTGCACGTCGTCCCCACCATAAGGTCATAAATGAACTGTCTATGTGTCCCTGCAGAGAGAAAACCGGCGGTTGCAGGAGGCCAGCATGCGTCTGGAGCAGGAGAACGATGATCTCGCCCATGAACTGGTGACCAGCAAGATAGCGCTGAGGAACGACCTGGACCAGGTATTTCTATACTAGTTAACACATTCAGCTTTTGTTTCAATCTTGTGTGTCGATAAGCATTGCGTTTTCAGGCTGAGGACAAAGCTGATGTTTTAAACAAAGAACTGCTCAACACTAAACAACGCCTGGTGGAGACCGAGGAGGAGAAGAGAAGACAAGAGGAGGAGACGGCACAGGTACAAGGTTGTATATATTTTTATTTACTATTAATACCATTCTCTATTTCCTATATTATATTAATTTATTTTTTATATATATTTTTTACTATTTTTTCCATTATTATCTTAAGTTATTATATATATATATATATATATATATATGTGATTTTTTTTAAAGTTGTAAATAAAACAAATAATTCAGATTGAATTTGAATTATACAATACAATTTTACAATAAAAAACTATTTCAGTTTTTCTAATTTTACATTTAATTCAGTGTATTTCTGTTTGTAATTATTTGTGAATTTTATTTGCAATTTTTGAGTGAACATTTTTTCTACACCATTTCAGTGTATAGTTAACTAAAATTAAACAATAGAAAATGTTTCTTGAAATAAAGTAACTTAATTGTAGTTCTGTGACTTTATACTCAAAATTTAGATTTTATTTTCAAAATATGACTACTATAATCTTGTAATGTTATGACTTTATTTAGATAATTTTGACTTATCCCATAATGTTATGAATTTATTCTTGTGATTTTGACTAACCGGTGATGTTACAAATGTATTCACATAATTTTGACTTAAATCTCAATGTCATCTGGCTGTGGATAATTTAGCTTTAATCTTGTCATTTTTCTTTATTTTTTTGCTATTTTATTTACTTATTTTATTTTTGTCATTTTGATTAAATAAATTATCAAATAAAATTATTTTATTTAAAATAAAATAAAATTTTAAAAACTTAAACTTATTTTTATTTCAGCTAGTTTCCAAGTAAACATTTCTCATTTTCATTTAGTTTAACAATGTTCTAAAATAACTTAAATGAAACTGAAATAAAAATTTTAAAACTATACGAAGATATTACTACGGAGACATGACATTACACATGACATGCAGGGGGGGAAAAGTAAATTGTGCGCACAATTTACTAATATGTTCGCTTGTTTTAAGTAAATAGTGTGCTGAATATAATAATAATGCACTCATTTTAAGTAAATTATGTGCACAAAATAATAATTGTCCGCATTCTCATAAACCTTTTGGCCTAATGAGAGTCGGACTTTGTAACCTGAAGGTCGCGTGTTCGAGTCTCAGGTCCGGCAGGAATTGTCAGTGGGGAGAGTGAATAACAAGTGCTCTCTTCCACCTTCAATACCACGACTGAGGTGAGACCCTTGAGCAAGGCACCGAACGCCAGGCGCCTGCTCCGGGTGTGTGTTCACTACTGGATGGGTTAAACTTGGATAGGTTCACGTGGATGGGTTAAATGCAGAGCACAAATTCCGAGTATGGGTCACCACACTTGGCCACACGTCACTTCACTTTAATTGGGTGTTATTTTTAGTTGTGAATGAGTTATAGAGACATTCTCAAAAGCCTTGCAGCGTTGCATGGAATCATTTAAGGTGAGAGGCATCTACATCGCTTTATGAGAATGCAGACAAGAAGTAATACAAATTATTTCAGGCGCACGATTTACTTAAAACGAGGGAACGAATTAGTAAATTGTGCACATGATTTAGTAAACTGAGGGAAAGAATTAGTAAATCGTAAACCAAGGGAACAAATTAGTCGGAGACCGAGGAGGAGAAGAGAAGACAAGAGGAGGAGACGGCACAGGTACAAGGACTGAGGACTCAAAATGTCTCTGACACGCGAATCAATTTCACTGCTACGGACGTGTACAATAACATTTTTCTTTTCAGCTGAAGGAAGTGTTCAGAAGAGAGCTGGAGAAAGCCGAATTAGAGATCAAGAAGACCACAGCCATCATAGCCGAGTATAAACAGGTATGTCTGAGTATCCCACATAAATCATAAGTCTCATCCTCGAAATTCACCCCACGTTTACTTCAGGGCAGGATTATTATGCTGTAAAAATAATAATAATTATCTCATTTTCATTTAGTTTAACAATGTTCTAAAATAACTTAAATGAAACTGAAATAAAAATTTTAAAACTATACGAAGATATTACTACGGAGACATGACATTACACATGACATGCAGGGGGGGAAAAGTAAATTGTGCGCACAATTTACTAATATGTTCGCTTGTTTTAAGTAAATAGTGTGCTGAATATAATAATAATGCACTCATTTTAAGTAAATTATGTGCACAAAATAATAATTGTCCGCATTCTCATAAACCTTTTGGCCTAATGAGAGTCGGACTTTGTAACCTGAAGGTCGCGTGTTCGAGTCTCAGGTCCGGCAGGAATTGTCAGTGGGGAGAGTGAATAACAAGTGCTCTCTTCCACCTTCAATACCACGACTGAGGTGAGACCCTTGAGCAAGGCACCGAACGCCAGGCGCCTGCTCCGGGTGTGTGTTCACTACTGGATGGGTTAAACTTGGATAGGTTCACGTGGATGGGTTAAATGCAGAGCACAAATTCCGAGTATGGGTCACCACACTTGGCCACACGTCACTTCACTTTAATTGGGTGTTATTTTTAGTTGTGAATGAGTTATAGAGACATTCTCAAAAGCCTTGCAGCGTTGCATGGAATCATTTAAGGTGAGAGGCATCTACATCGCTTTATGAGAATGCAGACAAGAAGTAATACAAATTATTTCAGGCGCACGATTTACTTAAAACGAGGGAACGAATTAGTAAATTGTGCACATGATTTAGTAAACTGAGGGAAAGAATTAGTAAATCGTAAACCAAGGGAACAAATTAGTCAATTGTAAACCAAGGGAACGAATTAGTAAATGGTGCGCACATTTTAGTAAACCGAGGGAAAGAATTAATAAACCGTAAAACAAGGGAACAAATTAGTAAATCGTGAGCAGGATTTAGTAAACCAAGGGAACGAATTGAATCGTGAGCACGATTTCCTACATATTTTTCGCAGCATGTCATTTGTGGGGCTCTGTATATCACAAAAAAGAACAAAAAAGAAAAGCACAACAAAATTACTAAAACCAACTAAAAAATATAAACTAATTTAAACTAATAAAATCTATAATAATATCTCACTGGTACTAGTGTAACTGCTTCAGAGTCGTATACCTTTTTTGAGTATTTATTGTGAAGAATAGAGTATAATAAGGTCTGAAATTAAATTTTCTGTTTGCATTAGATATGTTCCCAGTTAAGTACGAGGCTGGAGAAACAGCAGGAGTCCACAAAAGAGGAACTGGATATAGTTAAAGTGAGTAAATAATCTCTGCATACTTTTATATGGCACGTTGAGCAGTGATGATCAGCATATGTTGTTGCTGTTCTTCCAGGCTAAAGTGATGGCGTGTGAGCGCTGTAGGGAAGTGTTCAGCAAAGACGGACCCCTGCAGATCCCGGCGGTGAGTCAGGACAACCGGGACACGGACCTGGACGAGGAAAAGGACTCGCTAAAGGCTCAGCTCCGAGAGCTAGAACTGGAGCTGGCGCAAACCAAACTCCAGCTGGTGGAGGCCAACTGCAAGATCCAGGTCAGACGTCACGGCACATAAAACACCATAGTGCTGGAGATTTACAGATGCTACTCAGCTAATTATCAGCTCATCAGCAGCAGGTCGAAACCAACAACCATTTGTGAAAGTTTACACTTACTAGTATATTCTGCGCTTTTTAAGCTTATAGTTAGGTCAGTGTTAAAGGGAAATTTGTGACTAGCTACTAGTAATTTGCTTTTAAACACTGACTGATATTAGTTTACAATGAACATATTTGAAATCAGTGTTTTATAGATAGTCTGTATCCTACTACATTTTAGTGCCACATTAAAGGGTTAGTTCACCCAAAAATGAAAATTAGCCCATAAATACGCCGACCTTCATACGTCATCCGCCCGGAACTGCTTCCAGTGTACAACAGTGAGCGCAAGCTACATTAAAGTGATTATTACGTTTTGAATATGGATATTTTTCTTACAAAAACGCATCGATTCGCTACAGAAGGCCTTTGTTCACCCCCCCCGGAGCCGTGTGAGACACTTTTTTTTTTTAATGGATGGGCGCTTTTTATTTAACTTCTTTTGGACTGATGCATGCAACACCCGCTGAGTGCCATGAAACAGCTTGAAAGATCAAAGACAATTTTTAATATAACTCCGACTGGATTCGTCTGAAAGAAGAAAGTCATATACACCTAGGATGACTTGAGGGTGAGTCATTTATGGGCTAATTTTCATTTTTGGGTGAAATAACCCTTTAACGTTATAAGAATACAGTCATAACATTACGAGAATAGTTATAACTATTTGTAACATTTGGTGTTTCCACTGCATTGTTTTGATACTGCTTTTCTTTGACTCCTCAGAATATTCCAATTTTATAATTCTGTGACTATACTCGAAATTAACATTTTAAAAATATTGATTTTGCAAAATTACTCCTATAATCTTGCGGTGTTACGACTTTATTATTTTTTATTTATCTTGTAATGTTACAATTTTATTAATGTAAATTGATTTAAATTTCATGTTATGACTGTTCACATACTTTTGCTTTAATCTTATAATTGTAACTTTATTTGTAATTTTAACTTAGATCTCATAATGTTATAATTTTGTTCACATACTTTTGCTTATATCTCATACTTTGGGCTATTCTCATAATTTTGACAAATTTGTTACAAATTTATTCATGTATTTCTGCTTTGATCTTAAACTTTTGACTTTATTTGGATAATTGATTTAACGTCCTAATGTTATAACTTTATGTAATTTTGACTTATATGAATGTTATGACTGTTCACATAATTTTGACTTTGTGTAATTTCGACTTAAATCTCAGTGTTGCGCCTATTCACATACTTCTGCTTTCATCGCAAAATTTTTACTTTACTCAAGTCATTTTGACTCATGTTACAACTTGATTAGCATAATTTTGTCTTAAATCTCAAAATGTTGTTCATGAAATTTTAACATTATTTTGTCATTTTAACATCATTCTCAGAATGCTGTAACTTTGTTCATGTATTTTTGCTTTAATCCCATCATTTTAACTTTATTTACGCAATTTTGATTTAAATCTCAATAGGTTATGACTGTTCACGTTATTTTGCTTTATCAAAATTTCTGAATTTATTCACGCAATTTTGATTTAAATCTTGACTTGAAATTTTGACTTTGTCCACATAATTTTGCTTTAATCTCATAATTTTTACTTTATTTGCTTAATTTTAATCTCGTAATTTTGACTTTAATAATTTGGACTTTTCCAAAGTATTACATTTTCCAAGTACTACTATTTTAATCTTGTACTGTTAAGACTTTATTCTCCAAACTTTGACTTTATTTTTGTAAATGACCTACTTGTAATATCTTACCAAACAATCTTAGCAAACAAACGAGTTATATATTTTAATAAGCTTTTTACAGCTATGTCACAGTTACTTTAATGTTGTTTATTCATGTACTGCACCAGGAGCTGGAGCATCAGAGGGGTGTTTTGATGACTGAGGTCCAAGCTGCCAAAAACTCCTGGTTCAGTAAAACACTGGGCTCCCTCAAGAATTCAGCCAGTAACCAGTCACCCTCCTCACCCAAAGAGGGCCAGTAGGACTCGCCAAGGGCTTAACCAAAGGGTACAGGAGCGTGACCCTTCCACTTGGCCAAGCGGAGTAGAAAACAAGCTCTAATAAACACTACTAGCAACACAACATGGCAATGCAGTATTCCCTCGCATGGACTAATGAACGACTTCCACATGCATTTAACAGTCTGTTATGATTTCCTTAGCTTGTGATGCTATCTACTGGACAGTAACAGTACTACAGTGATAATTATTACATTTATCAATGTTCATCGAGTTATCCACTTCTGCAGTGGATTTTTTGTTAGTAAACAGTCAGTTCTAGCATGCAAGTACATAAACTTTGACCTTTAGCTGCCAATTCAAAGGTTGTTTTTTTTGTCAGAGGGAATACTGCATTCTGCTAACAATTAAAGTAAAAAAATCGTTTTGTGTTTCTATATATAAATAATAAATGTAACAGGTTTGTCATATAAATGTGTATAACTAAATGTCGATTTTTATTTTGATCTTGTACAGTTCTGAAAGAAAAGTGTTGCATTATTTTTTACGATTTTGAATATGAATGTGCTCTTTATAAATGTCAAATGCCGAAAAGCACAGACAAATTGGCCATGTATCACATGGCATTCCCTCCGTCCGTTTTCGCGGTTTTAAATTGCTGTAGACTGTTTGGGGATCCGTTTCGCTGTGAGCAGATCACATGATTTATCAGACGACGCAGACCTTGACCTTGTGGCCACACAATATTGACCTGCCAAGTCGCACATACTGCTTGTTTTATGTTATTTAACAGGTATACATGAGCGATTGGGTGACTGATGCCATGCGGACATCAAGAATGTGTCAATGTCTCTTTTTTGTTCTTTTTTTATTTTTTAGGGAAA